GATTGGTGAGGATTAAATGAAATAGTACATATAAAGTACCTAACACAGTGCTTAAGAAATGCTGGTAGATTTTCAATAAATGATAGTTCCTTTCATCTTGTCCGTTTAATATATATTACGATCTTTAACATTTACCAATATTACTTCATAATATTATATTATAAGCTCCATTATGTCACCTGACTAGGATTGATCTACCATAACATTAGACTGCTAGCTAATCTGTTGTCAAAAGCCCTTTCAAAGCTCTTCTTAATTGCCAGCATCAAATATTCCATTCACTTTCAGTATGCTCTGAACTCTTTAAGTTTTATAGCTTTATTTGTCTTTCTTGGCATTCTCAGGAAAAATGTTCATGTTGTGTTTTTTTCTGATTTTCTCATTTCTTTGTCACCTTTAGGCAAAACAGAAAGAATAAACATAGTGGTATATTGGTGTTGGACATTGTGATATTTTAAAACAACAAATATATATCACCTACTGTACTCCAGGCATTGTTCTAGAAATTTGAGACACTGTAGTGAATGACCAAATAAACTCTTTGATAATTTCTACTCTACAAGAGTGTACATTCTATATTAATATTAATATTAATATTTTTCCTTAAGTAATGACTATAACAGTCTTCTGGCTTGCATAAATTTTTGTTAATTTCAGCACTTTCCAGTTATAATTTAAGACTAACTAACCATCACTTTGAAAATGTACATAAATCAAGCATACAAAATTGTGTTGGGTATTGTAGAAAGAGTATTGAAAGTAGGTAGTCTGTGCTTTATTTTTAGCCGTAGGTTCTATATTTTTAGCTCAGGTAGGTTCTATAAACTCCCTAAACATGTGTACAATTATAATTTAAAACTGTTTTTTCTTCAAGTTTCTTTCACTTCTAAAAATTTCTGATTCTAAAGTTTTAAGAAAGACATATAAAGTACCTTCTCTATAGACTGTATTCTTTCGCCATGACACTGTCAATTCATTGGGGATCCAGAATTCTAGCCTTATTTTAAGTTAAAACTATAGCACCTAGCATAGTGTTTAACACATAGATGTTCAATAAATACTTATTGCATCACTTAATTAAATTGTCAACTAGAACTGTGGAATTTCTGATATTTTACTCTATTTACAAGTTAAGAAGTTAGTTTCAGGATATAGGTGAAAGACACAAAGCTCTGGGTCAGAGATTGAGGACAGTTGATTACTCACTGCAAAAGTGATATCCAGAATGCCATCATTTGTGCTTACTATCTGAGCTCTTATTTCCACAGGGTGACATGAAGAGAGCCTGATTATATCTGCACACACAGTGGGTTGAGTTACAATTCGGGAGCTCTGAGTCTAAGGAACCCCAAATTTTTTATAAGATGTACTTGCCTGCCCTTTGCTCCAGATGACTTTATTTTCCAAAGCTATAGGCAAACCTGTCCTTGATTTCAGGGCAGAGCTTATCTTCTGAGTCTGCTATATAAACAAAGAGAAAATAGTTCAGAACAATAAATCAGTGCCTCTGTTCACAAGATACACAGAAACAAGAAACATCCATGAGTTGTCTCCTAATGTAAATTCTTTATTAGAATTATTCTATTAAAGGGTGAAAATTTAGATTTCATTTTAGAAGCTGATAAACTTGTAAACAATGTTTAGAAGATATTGCTCTCTGAACATTCTTGAATCTTGCTAAATACACAGATTGAATACTTAATTATGCTTACTCATCAAGCAAAGGGGAGATGAAAAGGTAGCAGTATAATAATCCAAGTGTTAAATTAGTCTGCATGTCAATGTCTGGGGATTCAGAGATTGTTCAAAAAGACAAATCAATCATTTGAAATTTGTGTTTTTAAATTTTAAATAAGATGTGCTTTTAAATTTTTAAGTAAGTTTATTTCAGTAATTTCTTTCAGCTTATCAAGTTTCTTAAAGAAAAATGAAATCCCAGATACATGTTTATGTTATTTTGAGGTTATACTAATAAATATAGCTATTTTTCTTATGACAAATAGGAATCTTAGGCAATTTGATTGGTATTATTATTATTATTTTAGTTGTAGATGGACACAGTGCTTTATTTTGTTTCATGTGGTGCTGGGGATTGAACCTAGGGCCTCACACATGCTAGGCAAGTGCTCTACCACTGAGGTACAACCCCATTCCCCCCCCCCCCCCCCCCCCGCTTTTTTATTTTTTATTGAGACAGGAGAGACAGGGTCTCACTAAGTTGTAGAGGCTGGCTTTGAACTTGTAATCCTCCTGCCTCAGCCTCCCAAACTTCTGGGATTACAGGTTTGCACCACATCGCCAAACCTAGTGTTTCCTTCTTTACCTTAGTGCCCAAGAGGTCCAGAGAATGTAAGGAAGGTGAGACCAGGGACAAGTCCATTGTAAACTCAGAAGTGAGAGAGCCTTGTGTTATTTTTAATCTTTTCCCCAGCTCACAAGGTAAATGTGAGTAATTAATCTGGAATAGCCCCTGTCTAATGCTTGTGAAAGAATATCAGCAGCCACTGAAGATAATGGCAAACTCCTGGGGAACCATTTACAATCCACTCTGGTTGTTCCCCTTCATCTCCCTGTGAGCCTGAGAAGTTTCTTTGTTTTTTTGTAGATGTGATAATGGAGTCCAGAGAGTTTAAGAAACCAGGGTAAGATTTGAACTCAGGTGTGGCTTCCCTGGAGTTTGCCTGAAGAGGGACTGTTTCCCATCTTGCAGAAGGAGACTGTGGGCAATGAAGGCTGGACAGACAGGGTGCCTGAATGAGCCCTTTGGGTGGACACTAGTTACCCTCTGTCAAGCACACACACAGAAGAAAATGAGCATAACTCCTACTCAAAGACTTTGACACACAACCAAGATCAAAATGAGAAATCCTCAGACCATAGGAGTGTGCTGTATTGTCTCCAGGAATTGAGGCTACAGAAATTCAAGCCCTGTTCATGAATATTTGTGATATAATGAAATCAATTATTTCATGGATTGGAACAACAAGAAAGGGAGGGCTGGGGGGGTGTACCTCAGTCGGTAGAGTGTTTGCCTAGCATGCTGAGGCCCTGGGTTCAGTCCCCAGCACTGCCTCCTCAAAAAGGAAAAAAAAAGAAAAACTGGAAATAAGCCTAGGTGTTCTCAGTACGGGCAGATTCACTAGACAAGGGTGCATATAAACTGTGATGGATTCACAAGCCCTTAAGTAGGGTGAGGTGGAACTGTAATACCAGCGTGGACAGGTACCATGCTGCATTAAGTGAAAAGGTAAATTTCAATCCATGTTAATTTTATAAATCACACTAACTGGAAGCATACCTGCTAAACAATTTTTTTTAGTGTTCTTCAGTGCACTATAAATACTCTAACAATGTATCTTGGACATTTTTCTGTATAAATATATATAAATCTTAGTCTTTTAAGGACTTCATATTTCATAATATGGGTATAACACTTTTTCTACTGATATATGTTTTGTAATATGAGTTTTACATTCATAATATCTTAGATCTTTGCAAACATACAAATATATCTGAAGGGGGCTGAGGTTGTGGTTCAGTGGTAGAACACTTGCCTAGCATGTGTGAGGCACTGGGTTTGATCCTCAGCACCACATAAAAATAAATATAAAAATATATATCTGAAGGATAGAGTCCTTGAAGTGAAAGTACTGTGTCAAATGAATACACATTAAAAATTTTGACAGATACTGCCGAATTACTATCCAAAATGCTTTTCTGGTTTATACACCTAACAAGAGCAAGGAGGTAAGGGTAGGGGTCAGTGCCCACTTTG